GGAGGCAGGGGGGAAGAGGGGGAAGGAAGAAGCAGCTGAAGCCCGCTAACTTCATAAGAAGGGAAAGTTCTTCAATATTTTCACTACTTAACAGGCATAGGTAGATCAAGGTAGGAGGCAGAAGCTTTCTCTATGTATTCTGGAATTGAAACCTTTCATGTTTGTAGTTTTGGTGTTGGTTTTTGTTGTTGTTATTGGTCTTTTTTTTTTTTTTAATGGGTTCTGCATTGTAATTACCATTTATTGTTGAAGCTGAGGTTTATGCATTTGGCAGATTCTAACTAAAGAAACATCTGCACAGATGCCAAGCATCTGCCATATGGTTTTGATTACACAGCAGGGAACACAGCTGGAAGTTATTTTTATAGCACTTAACAGTGGCACTACTTCTAGAAATGCAGCGTGGACGGTACGAAGTAAGGCTGTCCACCCATCCATTTCTCCCATTAGGCTCCATTGGAGGTAAACTCCACCTGTCCACTTGTTAAAGAAATGTAGAGTACGATGACATTAAAACATAGTCATCTGGTAAGGCAAGACTGCAGGCTGAAATCTGGAACTAGTTTTTATCTTTTCTGCTTATCTTCTATAGTTGTAAAAATGGTAATTTTTTTTAAACTTCTGCATTATAAAATACCACTAATGCATCTGCAAAAGGTGGCAGATCAAGACTGATAACGAGCTTCCCCCGAGACAGCTCTAAAAGGCCACAACACTGAATAGAAAGTGAAAATGACAGTACAGAAGTCCGTACTAGTCGCAGTTACCATGGAACAAACCTCTCACCTCATGTAAAGTATGTGTTTATTCATTCTTATTTTCAGTGGTCTAGCAGTTTTCCCTAATAACCACTCAAGAACCCAAATGGAAAGAGATAATATGATATAGGCATCGTCATGAAAACCCTTTCCTAAGTCAAATTAACATTATTTCTTCTGCCATACCTAAATACAAAGAGATCTTAAGACAAACATGAAGAAAAGAGGCTTACTGACTATTCACACACTTACAGTGGCAAACATCGATATAATTTTCTTATGACTAAATGCATCTACAAGCTAGACCATTCATATATCCTTTGATGGTTTAGCCAACGCATGGAAAGTGGCCAACCAACTTTATTTAAAAGGATACCTTAAAATTAAATAGACCTTTTGGCTTTGTGTTTTGAAGAAAATATTAAAAGAACATGTAAAGAAACTAACAGGCATGCAACCTAAGGGTTTACCAGCTTTCAGTTGTACAATACATACATGTTGAAGATGAAAAGTCACTGTTTCTGTAGCTGTGATCCACCAGGTTATTGACAGACAGATCTGTTCTTCTTTCTAACTCTCTCCGCTCTCTCACCAGCTCAGTTCCAAGGGACCCAAGCATCACTGATGAAGATCTAGGAATCCTACTGTACCTCCAAGAGGAATCTACAAAGAAAAAGTAAGTAAATCCCCTGTTTTTGTAATACTTTAAAAATCCATTAAAGCTGGAACTTACGCATGTATTCTGGTTATACCATATCCAGGGTGAGTTTAACAATACCACTAAGCTGATCAAGTGGCCAGCTGCCAACATAAAGTCAAGAGTAAGCGGCACTCTGCTGATGCTGGCACTTATTTAATCTTGCAGTGAGCTAGTTCTGAAAGCTAAACCGGAAAAAAGTCATAATACTTTTGTGAAGAGTCAGACCCATTAACACTCATACAGGACAGGAGGAGGAAGAGAAATAGCATCTGGCTTTCTAATGGTAGCTAGTTATTAAATAGGCTTCACAGTATGGCAAAACAGCAGCTTGAGACTGCTGCAAATGCTGCCATTCTAATGATGCTTCTTAAATACTCCTAAAATTCATTTTCCAGAAAGACAGCTGAAGCTTAAGTGCAGCTTAGACACAACTTTAAGAACAATGACTAATACTGTTCTTGCTCATATTGCAGACTAGAACACTTCAGTTTAAAAACGGATCTTGTTTTTTGCTAACAGGTCCAACAACTAAATAGGGAACTGTACATACTTCAGCTGTGAACAAAACTCTTCTTCAAAAAAGTGTTCTTCAATGGCTCTGAGAAATCCACCTTGATTTTGTTTTACTGCTAACTTATAAATCCAAACTTAAGCATTCTGGTCAGCAGTGTGATGACCAACCAATCTAGAAATGGAAAGACAGTCCTACACCAGAATGAGAAATGTTAATGGTGGTCATTTTATTAACAAAGAGTAAGAAAGCATCAACAATACTGAGTTTTGAGCAAGAATTTACTAACTTTTATTGGCTGTGTGATTCCATAAAGGGATATAAAAAGAACATTGATCCATACTCACAAGGGTAATCTGAATGGATCTGATGGTCTAGAAACGTTCTAGAATATTTTCAGTATAAGTTTTTGACCATTATTTCCTGACCTTTAAACTTTTGTTAGCATATTGCTTAATTTACATCTATCCAAGTATCACATACTTATTTAGAACTTTAACGAAAATCTCAGTTTTTCCTGAAAGAGCTCCTAGCACAGAATGTTTAATTTTTGCCTGGTCTATACAATGACTTTAGGCCCTGCTAAAAAAAGAACTCTTTCTTCCCTGACCCCTAACAAATAGTGCTCTAACCAGCCATGACACTGTGCTTCTTGGAACACAGAGCTAAGTAAGGTAAAGATTTCCTTTCTGCCGTCCCTGGCACACGTAGGTTTACCAACAAAATTTGACTCATGAAGTAACAGCAGCTGCACTCATTCTTTCCTTGAAATCTTAAACAATTAAGACATATTTGAGCCATGAAGTTCAGCTTTACTGCAGATGGAATAGATACAGGTAATAATTTTGAAATTACACGAGTACAATCGGGTTTTCAGAAGACCATGTTAACAGCATTTTCAGTACTTTGGATACTGCTATCAGTGTGAACATACTCTTCTGTTAGGCATAAGTTTTTAATATTTAAGAATAATAAAAGCGTAATATTTCAAAGCAAGTCTTTAAAAACTTGACAAAACCTGATCTTACTACTCAGACAATTTTCTTGTAACTCAGCTCTAGTAATCAACCTCTCACCTGAAAAGGCAGTCAAGCCATTACTTCTCACTGAAGAGGTAGATGTACAAGATAGCTTAGGTCTCTTTGAATCACTATCTCGCTGCTGGCTATGCAGTCTTGAATATGCTCCCTGAGTTCTCTCAGACTCACCATAACACCCAGATGTAAAATGAGAGGAAGAAGATGTAGACTGAAATAACATAAAAAAAAAAAAATTACAGACACTATTTCAGATGTACTTACACTGAACAAAAGTGTACATAATATAAGACTCACAAAAATAGTAAAGAATAACTTTAAGATGCAAAGCCTTTTTATTTAAAAATAATATAGGAATTTATGCTTGTGCTCTTGATCAGTATTCCCAGGTTTACTCGAGACAGTCCTACCAACAAAAGCCAGTTTCTATTACAATCGGCATTATTTTTCCTTTATAGATAGATGTGGCTTACAGGGGAAAATGATATTCCTGACTTGGAAGATGTTACAAACATGATCAAATATACCTTTACAGATCTCCAAGGAAACATAATTTTGCTGTCCAGAAATGGCCAAAACTGATCAGCTTCATTATTTTACTTCATAGTTTAACTAAACCAGCTTGTTTTTTACCAACCTAAAATATACTTGGCTAAGGAGTCAGCTCTAGTTTCTAGTAAGCTGTTTAGACCAGATATACTTTGATTACATCAAACTCAAGTGCAACAGAGTAAAGAATGGGTACAAAACAATTTTTGCAGTGTACAGCACTGAAATAAAACAGTTTTCAGAAACCAGTACTAAAAAAAAAAAAAAATTAAAAAAAAATTGGGATAGCCTATAAAGCTGTTAGTCTGGTTACTTGCAGCCAAGGCATTCATTTTCTGTTTGAAACATTTTGATTTTATTTTTTGATATAAAAAACTCGAGCTCAATCAAAAAGCTCAATTGAGCTGTTTGTCCTCCCAGAAAATATCTACAACCAAGATCATTTAAGGATCAATCAAATTAGAGTAGATGTTATAGTTGTATTTTATTTTTATTTTGGTATGTTTTTTGCTCAGCTTATGCCACTACCTTTTTACTCTTTAGAACTAAGAAGTATCTAAGGATTTCTCTTACCCCATAATAAAAGACAGACGGGGAGACACAGAAACTAACATCACAAACCAAGTACAAAGCCAGGTTAATTTCCCTCATGAATCATTTGTTTAACATATAACTTATCTTTTAATCATTTGCTATTTGATAAGTGGAAGTTTCAGAGTGTCTTCTGCAATATTCACTTGCATTAGAACTTAATTTAATAGAAAAATTAACCTCAATGGGAAAAAAATGTATCATTTTGAAATCTCTATAGCACCAACTTAACTAGGTATGTAGGCCACTTACAACCAGACTCCATTTGCATTTCAACTATACGTAGAGACACCTACCACGACTTCCCCTGAAGGCCAGCATCTCCGCACTAGTTCCTCCCTCCCCCTCACTTATCTCAGTGTCTTCACCTTTAAGTCACAGTAAGAAAACAAACACCTACTTAAGGTGCGAGCACTCTCTAGTACCCAAACATCTTACAGTTTGAAAGTAAGCAGAATTTTCACTTGTTCACTATCTTCCCACCAAGCATCTTCACGGTTTTCCTCTTTTCCCATCTTAATATTTTTACTGCAATTGAAAGTGGTTTATTGTCACTCTACAGTGCATAAGCATGTCAAAGAAGCAAACTACTTTATTTTTGGAGTTGTGAAGGCACATTCTGGAGCCTAGTTAAGACAAGCTGTTAAGGCCTGAGTTTTGGATCCCAGTCAGGTGACAGTTCAGCCTCCATTTTCTTTCACAGTATGCTGTAAGCAGCATATAAGTAAGGACAGTCAGACTACGAACTACTCCTCCACAACTAAGTTTTGTAAAGCAGGTCTCCAAAACCATGAACTTTGTGTTAACTCACTATGGCTGGTGCCATCTACACCCCCTAGAAATACCTGATGGAACAAGCTGAGTATAAACAATATTAACTTTGCCATCCGTAGGACTGTAACATGTATGAGATTCTAATCACCCCCTCCTTTTTTCTTTTTAAATGATTACTTGCAGAGCCACTCTCACTTCAAATTTTTTTCTTAACTTTTAGTAAAACTAATATATATTATTATTTTCATCCTCTGAATAATTTCTTAACACCGCTATCTTCTTGCTTTCCCTCCACCTTGACTTAGTAAGATCTACTTATCTAGAAACATTACAGCGAGCCCCTGCTAGCAGCTTTTCAGATTGGGAAGGCTAAGGTAAAACGCTGATTTTTTTTTTTCTTTTTTTCTTTCTTTCTTTTTTTTTTTTAAAAAGTATTACACATTAAAAATTCTCACCAATCTGCTTCTGCTTCCCAAAAATCTTCCAGAGTGTGGATGATCAAGTGTCCCTGAGTAGCGAGTTGGAGAGGACGTTGTAAGCTTCCAAGGAGTTTCATGGGCGTCTCTTTCTCCAATTCCCCAGTCTCTACTGGAACTATTCAATACGCTGGATTCCTGAAGAACAACATGCTTATCATATGTATCTTGTAACTCAAAACGAACTCAGTGTCTGATCTGAATATTGAAAACACAAGGAAGTGGAGGTACTAACAAATCTGGAAGCCTTTCACGAGAAAGGGATACCCAAGAATAAATGAAACAGGCTTAAGAGAGAGCCACTGGCAAAAGGAAAGATTTTTTAAAATTACTTTCTAGCAATTATCAGCTCCTTTATCTGTCCTCTAATTTGACTGTGGACAATAAAAAGTTGAAGCGTAAGGCTTTTGAGGCATCACCCCAACTTAGATACTCCAGCAACAGGGCAGAATTAAGGACTTCACTTTCAAGTGTAAAGTAAAAAAACCCACACACATAGAAAAAGAGTTTCCATGATAGGCAAAAGTGCCACAGCAAAAGTGGCTTTTTGGCCACTAAAGCAAGCCATCTGTCTTGTTCTGGCCATCAGTTTTAATATAGGAGAGAGTGGATGCAAAGAAGAGGGGGAAAAGAAGAAAAATCATGTTTTGGGCCTACTAACAGATAATTATTTTTACGTAAGGAGCATGATCTGTCCTAGTAAAATAGCTGGGACAACAAAGGTCAACTATGTCATGAAGTTATTATTCCTTAAAAAAAAATGCCACGCTACTGCAAATTACACAGTATCTTCTCAGTGTCTTAAACGCTTCCCTTTTACCACTGCTTAAGTTTTTTATTGTTCTGCAGTCTATTCTAATAATCCATCATTGCACTATTGGTAGGCAAGGCTTGCAAATTAGTCATTATTAATTCCAATTACATTTCACGCAAGCAGCAAAAATACATTTCCATTTTTCACTACAAAATTGAAATTTTTATGTCTCTAGGTTTCTTATAAATCACTAACATTGAAGACCACTGTAAAACAGTAAACAGCACTGGGTACAAAACCACTTTGGGCTTATGAAATAAGGTAAATAGTTTTAGTAGCCAATTTCAGACACAGTGCAAAGATATTGAATCCACAGTTTGATATGCATAACAAACTAAGACTGTTTGGGAAACAGTCCTGCAAATAAACATTGTTTGCTGCATTACCTCAGAACAAAGCGCTCAAATTATTTGAAGTCTGATGACTGTAACCCTTCTTTTTGTGTTTTCTCTTCCAAGAAATCTTTACCTTGGCCACACAGGCAAGTTTCTAATAATAGAACCGGCAACTGTTTAACATACAAATCTGTCTACCTTTAAGAGAACCTAAGGGATGAGGTTTTACACTACCAGTTTCACTGAATTTCAATGAATAGATGATAATTAAGGAAAGACATTGCAATTTAATTTGTTCCACAGAATAATCATTGAAATTAGTAAAATTAATAGAAGTAACAGAAATCCAACCATTTTATTACAGCTAAGCAGAGTTTGTAAGTGATGATTTGTCCACGCTCTTTCTATGAAATATTAATACTACAACTACAGTAGTTTCTGTCACCATTTCTTAAAAGTTGTAGTATTAGGACTTAAAAAGCTGAAGAAATATTCACGCTCATCATTCTCACAAGCAAAATGAAACCTGAAAATAAAGTATCAGCCAGTAAGTTTTCTCATGTTTCAAAGTCTCAGTACGATTCATCAGGTTTCTAAATTATTTCATATATGGATAATCTGCCCATGGACACAAGACTACACAACTTTAAGATAAAAGCAAAGCACTCTTAAAGTGTTTTTAATACGAGCCATACCTGCAGACTTAACTGATCTTGAAATACTTCCCTTTCCTTTTTCTCCAGCTGTTAAGATTCTCAAGATCTGAGAATTTAATCTTATTTTAAGTGTCTGGATCACCACAGTAAAGACCTTAATCCAAGAACAACACACTCGCCCAGCACTGAAAGCCAGTTCATGGAACTACACCATCTACCATTCTAATGCCAACACAGCTTTTGGTAGCTGTGGCACCTCTGCACTGTGCTCATTTCTTCAAAAGATGTCCCAAGGCCAAAATAGAAAGTGCAGTGAACACGCTGCAGTTCATGTAATAAATGAAATAATGTAAAGTACATAAAACTCTCTTGTGTTATAATTTCTTAACAGTGGTAACACATCTAACTTCACAGCACCAGTCCAGCTCAAGACTCATCTTCTGATCAACAGCTTTCAGTCTGGTATGTAGACTGTGTGGATCCATAAAACCCTACAAAAGAGTAAGACTATCTGATTTGGTTTTGCTGAGCAGCCAGCCAGTGAAAAGTGTGTAGGAACCCAAAAAGCAAAAATGACTGAAGGCTATGCTTAGACCCTCCCTATAGCCTATATATACTAACGAACACATGCCTGCTAGACGTGGCAAAATGTAACGCATATACATGCAATTGTGCTAAAAATAATTCATGCTCTATTACTTGTAAAACTGTTTCTGGAAAAGGCATTATATAATACAATGTCCCAGATAACTTGTCAGCAGGGACCAAACTCATAACCATTTTATCAAAAAATATGAACACCTAATCACAGAGTTAAGTTTCTGCAATTTCAAAGACCAAGATGGGCTTACATTTCTGGGCCCAAAACTGAGGTGAGAACTGCTGACAGGAGCAGAAACAAAATTATAAGATAATTGAGCCAAACAGCCATCAGTGGCTTCCACGTGCCCAAAATAATTTCTGAAGTAGTTTAATCTCTACTTCCCATAATATTCTTTCAAAGTGAAAGTACCTGCAGAGTGTGACTTCTTATTCTTAAGCATGGCTCTCCTCCCCCACAAAAGCAATTTGGTTAGTGAAAAACATTGCATGTGAAACAGCAAATGTCTTTACCCTAGTCCTGTCTATTGCACACAAAGCTTAGCTGTATTATCATACTGACATGACAACATGAGGTACGCCTAAAGGTCCTCTTCTCACCTTCACAAAATGCAAAGAAAGCAGGTGCTGCCGAGCAGTACAGCCTACTGTCAACTCTTAGAACCGCAACATATTCCTGTACTTTTTGCATCATCCACACATGAAGTGTAACGCCCTATACGCATCAAAATTCAAACAAAATCCTGACCTCCCCTCAACAGAAAACCCCATTTACCCAGGTTTAAGACTGCAGTGATTAGTGCCAAAACAGATCCATGGTATCAGGATGTCCTTCATTCACTGAACAGCTGATTAAAGCAGGTAAAGATGGCGAACCTAGAACTACCAGTTCACACTGCAGAATACTGTCATTGGCCTCGTTATTAAACCCTTGCATTTTAGAATTAATCTTGGTTTTCATTCACAAATGCAAGCCCTGGGTGGGACTTTTCCTTATATTTCCCTTTTTTTTTTGTCTGGGTTTTAGTGTTTTTCTTGGTGAAAAACAGACATTAAATTAATTTGTACTTTACAGAAAGAGACAAAACACATTACCTGGTATCCAGATTCTAATCTCCGTGAAGATTCTCTTGCATTATATGCACCAGCTAAACTGTTTCCAGCCAACGTTCTAGATCCTAGCGAAGAGCTGGAGGCCTGAACAGATATCCTTCGAGGAATTCTTGAGGGTTTTGACTCCATTCTTTGTATCCTGTATAAGGACACACTGATTATTTTTCCTTTTAGAAGCAGGGACCTACATGCAAAACACGCACAAGTCATTCTGAATGTATCATAAAAATGATTCACACATACAAACATTTACACAGTGCTTTGGTTTGACTGTGCATCAGCAAGATGAGGAAATGAGTTCTTACCCTAGTTTTTGTAACCTCTTCTTTACATCTCCTCCCATTCCATGTTGGAAAACTAGAAACATAGCCCCTTTTGCTATTCTTATTATTATATTACAATATATTCTTGCTATTATATTACATATGGGACTCCCTTAAGAACTCTGCAGCACTAGTATTAACACAAAATGAGCCAGGAGTCAGAGAAAGAGTCCTCAGATTCCTGAATTCTTTTTTTTTTTTTTTGTTAATAAACTGCATCTCAACACTTGCAGAAACTACACTGAGACTTATTCTTCAGGGTCAAAACTATGGAACTTCACCCTCCTGAGAGAAAGGAAAAAAAAAACCCCATCTGCAATATACCTGCCTCAAAGAAATATTTCACTTCTCCAAAGACCAACTCCCATGAAAATTAATGTATACAAAAGAGCACATGCTGTCTCACAGGTATATATAAATTTACCTTTGAGTCACTGAGTGTTTATTTCTCTTTCGGTATTTCTAGGCATCTCAAAGAAATGCTGGTGCCTTTTCCACCTGAGAAGTGATCCCGTAGTCATTCCTGTCCTTGAAAGGATATCGTGACTTAACGTTGCTCAAAAACTCCAGATAGATAGCTAACTGGTCTGCTAATATTCCCAGATTCTTCCTCCTCAGGATAGTACAGACAGAATCAGACCACAAAAGGTAGCTCTTAAATAAAAAAATTAAGAGAACTGCAGTATCGTCAGTGGTGTGGTGCGGTGTGGGAAGAGTAGCATGATAACTAACAACTCTAAAACAGATGGCCGAGAACTCCACTGGTACAAGGTGATTTGCAGAAGTGGTACAATCTGTTTTGTTTAACCACTTTTAATTCTGGCCTAACCTTCTGAGAAAGGGAATAAGCTATCTCAGAAAAAAAAAATTACCCATCAGTAAAGCACATTTTTTTTTCCACGCATAGAAACATAGAATCATTAAGGTTGGAAAACACCTCTAAGATCATCGATTCCAACCGTCAACCCAACACCACCATGCCCACTAAACCATGTCCCTGCTAAGCCATGCTCATCAGTAACAGTCTGTGAAAAGCTGCTGCATCAATCCTGACGTACCTCATGTCCGGCTGCAGTTTCAAGTTGAGTTCACATACTCAGGACTTTTAATCTTAGCTGAATGTCATGCTGCATTACATATTCTATCTGGTAAAAGCTAGTTTGTACAGAACTCCATTGACCAAACAGTTGGACAGCTGAGGTTAATTTCCTTAATGGAAGATTTTTTAACCACTGTTCTGGTGCATGTTCAGTTGCTAGCTTTACAACACAGGTGACAACATAAAGTAGCCTAAATGCTTAATCTTGCAAGTAGGACTTTTTTTTTCTTTCTTTTTTTTTTTTTTTATTTGGAAAAAAAAGTTACAGCATAAAGCATACCAAGTTTAAGTGAATGTTTACATTCGTGTGCATTCATTAGCAACCCATTCGCTTTTGCCAGAGACATCACCAGTTAAACAAGATCAATTCAGGAATCTGAAATTCTCACTTGCCTAACTTTGGATTAGGAACCTGAAATCATGGATTCGTTAAATTTCCCAGAACACATTTAAACCCCTAAGTAAATATTGAGCAATTGTATGCAATTCTTAAAGTTGTAAATACAGCTGTATTGATAAGAATGCTCTAAGCAGTGTTCCAAAGTACAGAAGAACACTATCAATCGTGGAAGTTTAAAAGAAATTCAGAACGGACAAATCTAATAATCTAAGCTACCACCACTTCAAGTGGATTGTTTGTGCAATAAAATGTAACAATCATATTTGTTCAGTTTGTAACATTAGATAAGACACTGTAATGATGGTTAATTTAAGCTTTAGAATAATCTGCCATAATGTGCACTGCAAGTCTAGTACTTGTCCGAAACTGCACTGAGTATGAAAAAGTAACTATTCAAGTTGCAAACTGTGAAGCTAAATTAATGTCACAGTAATATAGACTAGGGTATATGCTGGACAGGACAGTTGTAGGTCTTGATGAGATCGGACATCCAAAGCACGTTTATCTACGTTTTACCCTGATACAAAATATAAGGACAGACACACAGAATAATGGATCCAATTCTGTACTATTAAGTACCTGACAAAGAGTGACAGCACTATCACTTTTGTTAGGGATCCTTCTTTTACTGGATCACTTTGCTTCAGATAGGTGTGGAACCAGATGAATTAAATAACAGATAAAATCAGACACAGACATATGTAGAATATGCAAAAGTTCTAGAAGGGATGGAAGCTCCTACCAGTAGAAATTAACGTCCAGATGAACAGGGGGGAAGAGACAGAAGTGTAAGAAGTTATAAGAAATTCAAGACTAAATTGGAGATCATCTAATACTAGTAAAATTGCTTATGCACCATCCACAGAACAGACAAAATAAGAGCATTCAGATAGGAAGACTGTGGACACCAGAGCCAACTATCTCTAGAAGCTGAAATGGAGTCCAAGATCAGCAAATTGCTTCTACAAACATACATAAAAAGGCACAAGACTAATTTTCTCCTCCAGTGGTAACCCCAAGAGGCCGATGTTATCAATCAGCTTAATCTTCAATTAGCACAGGTTGTGATTTCAACCTGAATATGTCAGGATGATACTATCGACGTATTTTCTTTCATGCAGAAACTATACACAAAAAATGTGTTAAAATAAGATAAAGGCAGCATGTTAGAAAACGCAAAATTTAATATGCCCGTTTATGCATACACATTATGATCAATTTCTTTAACACAACCATACATTTTTTCTGCACAATAACAAACAGTGTTATTTTTCTCCAGTCCTGGCCTCAGCCAGCAAACGACAAGGGTCTGCTATAAAGATGAATCAGAGTTGTGTAAGAACAGGCATTTGACAAGAGGAACCCTGCCTTGATTGATGCAGTGGTGGAAAGGTACTGAAAAAACGGCCTTATGGTCTAGGCAAAGAACTTCTGCTTGAGGAAACTGAATTTTATCTTTGCCTTTCAACAAAGATTCAGTGACATGAAGCATGTCATTCAGATTAATAATTTTTTAAAAACCACTACACAAGAGCTTTTGCATTTCTGGGCATCCACCACAAAATTTACTTGGAATCCAACTAGCAGAAGTCATGAACGCATATATCTGCAACTGAAGTCAATGGAGCCATGACTTGAACTAGATACTAGGCATGTCAGCTTTGGTAATCAATACTAGTAAGAAGTCTTCTGGGTTTTTTAGTTTGGGTTTGTTTTTGTGTTGTGTGTTTTTTTTTTTTTTTTGTGTCCAGAGTTCTTTGAAAACCATTCTAAGCATTGTATCCTGGAAGCTTGAGAAGCAACCGTCTTCACAGTTGGCTTGAATACACACAATATGCATATAAGGCTTATGCTGATCGTGGTAAGACAACGAGGTGGTCAAGGTGAACACGCTAAGCTATCACAGAACAGAGCAAGACAGTGGTCTCACAGTAATAATAATAAAATCGTATTATTAAAACCACAATAACATTTGTCTGCAAGGGGAATGTCATGTTTTTATAGCATATTTCAGAATGAGAACGGTTCCCTTTTACAGTATCAGCATCTTAAGGGTTTTTCTGAATGAGCACAAAGACACTCAAATTAAAACCTCGAACACTTACCCACACAGGAATTTAATAAATCCCAAGTGGTAATTAACATGCTGTAATGAGTTCTACAATGACAAAGTAGTCACCTCAATTTACACAGAAGGTAGTGAGGCCAATAAATACTTAAAGGACTTCTCTGAGGAACAAATACATAAAAAAAAAAAAAAAAAAAATCTAAGTTATGTTGCAGTCCGAATTGATTTAAAAGCCTGTTGTTGCCACAAAGGAAAGGAACACCTTACTCAAATATGACACCTGCTGTGTTCTTCATTGAGCAACCTCAACACGCTATCCTGGCAAAACACACATCTGGCTTCTCCATCATTTTGACACTGCTCATGCTGGTATCCAACAACAGAGAAATGAGAAAGGGAACAGCAGGGTGAGAAGCACTCTTCTCATCAAAGCAACATATTTCATCAGCTCATGCCATGTTACACAACTTAACAATCAAACCTCATAGAAAAATCTGGAAACATCTCTTGTGTCTCCTGGAATACGGGACACATGCAATGCCTCTCAAGACTTGGTAAGAAACCAAGTTCTGAAATCAAACTTTAAATTTAAAGCTGTACCTGGGAAACAGATGGCCAACTTGTAACAGGAGGTGGAGTCGAACATCCTATTTTGAGTATACAGCTCAAATGTCCTACTCTTCCTGATCTGTCATCCCTCCAACAAAACTATAAAAGATCAACTAGACCTAACTTAGCCACGAATAGAGATAACAAGAGATAAAATATCCAAGAGGTCTTTGTGGGAAAGCAGTGTAATCTCGAAAGTAAAAATAACACAAACAGCAAATATTTCAAATAAAAACCTCTCACTCCTCCCCTCTTCTGCCTTAACCCCCTCTACTGAGAAATGAGGGGATTCGAGGTAGTCATGTCTATGAGTAAGGGAAGCCTTTACTAGCTGCCATCCTTTCTACTAACAGCTTAAAGCATTCTTGTACCCTCAATCAGAGGGAAGCAGACGCTTCACTCACAGCATCTAAATTCAAGTTTTCTACCTTGGAACTATGTGGTGACACTTCTACCTAAGACTTGAGCTTTTAGGTCTACAGATTTTTGTATGGTTTGATATACAACTGTTCGTAAGACTTTCTCCTGAGCAACTTGTTATCACGTGTCTTCCTCAGTGTTTAATCACAATCACGTTTTTATGACAAACAAGATGGGAGTTCAGGGACAACTCTCTCAATCTGCGCGATTCTTTGTTCGAGGTAATTTCTCAACCTTCAACCAAGGAAGACTGACAAAAAACTCAGCAGCCTCTCAGGAGTCCCATGAGCAAGAAAAATATTTGCAAACGCCGATCGTCTGCCTACGCTGCAGCAGCTGATGCCATGACGCTGGACTGTTCCCCAGACTGGAGCCAGCAGCCTCTAGACACCGGGTGCCCCGCAAGGCCGCTGTGGAGGACACCATACCCTCCCGCCTAGGCTTGAAGGGAGAGGCCCGGCCAGCAATGATGACTTTATCGATCGGGGGAGAGAAACACGGTTACCCACCTTATGTACCTAAATTAATTCTTACACGCGCTCCAGGCCAACGCCAAACTGGGGCTGGCGCCAGGCTGAAGGGCAGCGCCGACCGCTCTGCCCGACCCCGCAGGGCAGAGGCTCCCCAGAGGGAGGAAAGGAAGGGGGGGCAGAGGGTGTCACACAACGCCGCTGCCAGCGAAGGCGCG